TTTTGTATTAATCTTGTTAGGTTAACCCAATTGTTACATTACTACTTTTCAATACGTACTTCTTTGCTTGACTTTGGCCTTACCTGTTATTGACAAAGCTTTTTCTAAATATTACCTATTAGTTATATAGATTTCACTCATATGATGGAGAATATTCTCTGTTATTGCTTAAGCATGGTTGTATCATTTTTCTTTAAAAATTAAATAAATTAAAAATATATTTGTAAAAGAAGTGGGTTATTTTAGTTTTTCAAGTAGAGGAAAAATTAAATGAGATAGTCTCTTAAAAGCTAAAAAAAAAAAAAAAACCCAAAACACCTAGATAATGTGTAGACTAAACTATAACTTAGTACTTTTGTGAGTCATGAAAAAATTGAACAGGGAAGTAATTATGTTATACTTGTGCTTTCCTGTTTGATTAGTTCACATCCTTAGCAGTCTTTGCAGATATTTGTGCCAAGAAGGGGTCATCTTGATTGTAGTCTACAGGTAAAATTTTTGTGAAAAAACATAACCACGTGTCTACAATAATTTCTCTTCATACTGAATTCCTTCCCCTATCACTGAAGAAAAGTGTGTGTCATTACTCCTTCCTGCTTTTTGTTTATGTTGGTTGCTTTAACGATCACATCGTTCAATTCTGTTTATAGATGGAGTTGCCCTTTGGAAAGACAGCCCCTCTGGCTGGTGTTGCTGGGCGTTTTCGCAAGCCCTTGTGTGATCTGCCTCCACAGACAGGCGTTGTCGTTTTAAGCACTTACCTTCTGAGCATTGTAAACATGTGGTTGTTACTTGTTTGTGTTTTTTCTTGTCCTGGACAAAAGTAATCCTCTATAGAAAATTCATTACAGAACAATTTTGCATAGCCATTTAATGTTGATGGTTGCATGGCAAATCATGGAAGGCCTATTGTTTTGGTAGTAAAGATGTATCTTTCTTTGGGCAGTAAAGGAAATTTGTGAACTATTGTAAATAATATTGATTAGCTACCATGATTACAGCAGTCATCTAGGCATTTTTGCCTTATTAATTTAACATAATCATTTCTACATGAGATTCAGTGCCCTCCTTCTATGAGGAAATTGATGCCTAACTGATCTTCCCAGAAATGTAACTAGCAAGTGATGGAACTGAGATTCTTAAGCCTAAACACTTTCACCATGGAGTGTACCATTTAAAGGAATTTCATGACTGGTGTTCGATTGCACAGGCCATCCGCAAAAAGCAAAACAGTTTTGTAGTGGGGAAAATTTTGTATTTCAAAGTATATATCAAAGTTAGTGTGGGAAAAATTTGACCTTCTTTTGACTTCCTCGTTAGCTGCTGGTTTCACCCTCAGACGTGCACAAGAGTGTACGCACACACAAATCAGCTTATAAAATAGTATCTGTCCTGTTTATGGAAGTTTAGGGCACAAAGTAAATAGCGGATAGTTTACATAATCCTTGATTTGTGTTTTGAAGCTAAATCTGATTTTCTTCAAACTATACCTTATTTAAAAATGTGAGCAAAGCTGTTGTTAGGTGTTGATGGAAATAAAAGACAGTGTCCTTCAGCTCTGGTGGCAGATGGGCTTTCTGAGCAGTTAGCATTCTGTGCTCGTCAGGGTGAGGAGTCCAAGTTCTGCCCCACAACCTGGGTGAACATGCTTCATAAATACAGTAGCGCAGTAGCCAAGTTCTTTGTCAGGCTGCTTCCTTGCAAAAACACTTTGAAAAGTACAGGGAGGCTGCCTCTAGATAGACCAGTATGTTTCTAATTTTTTCATGATGTCTACACTAAATGCTTTCATAAATTTAAAACTTTCAAAAACATTTTTTTGGTATAAAAAAGTGATGAATCATGGATTCAACTTGGAATTTTTATTGATATCATTTCTGTTGAGCTTTTTAGACATGCTTGTACCTCTGCTTCAGACGTTACATCAGATCTTGCTCTTGTATACACTTCTCCCAGCTGAATCTGATGAATATCTGTGACTCTGAATCAATTGGTGATTCTCCAAAGAGTGGCTGACTGAATGGCTGAGGCAGGAGAATTCCAAGTTCAAGCCCAGCCTGGTCAGCTTAGGAATTTAACAAAAGCCTGTGTCATAAATAAGTAAGTAAATAAATAGGTAGGTGGTTGGACGGATGGACAGACAGACAATGTAGCACAGAGCAAAGGCCCTGGTTTCAAGCCCCAGTACACACCCCTATAGTGTGGCCAGTCTCTGGACCTGCAGCCTCAGCATTACCTAGGATCTTGTAAGGAATTCAGGTTTTGTCCTATGACATACCCTCGCTGTCTGAATCAGAATCGGGAACTTGGGGAAGGACGGTAGTTTGTGCTTTAACAAATTCTCCAGTGACCCAGACTGCCTGCAGTCTTTTAAAAAATTGCCTCAGCTCTAAAATTCCACAAAGCTTGTTCTGTCAGTATTTCCAGGGCAACGCTTAGCTGCCATTCGACGTCTTGCCCTCCTTTGTCCCATTCCTTTGCTGTTACCTATTTTAATATTCTTGTAGAATGAATGTGTATTCTGTTGTGAACCTTCTTGTATGCATTGTGTGCTTTGTGGCAGAGCCAGGGCATTGTGTTACATTCTTCAGGATTTGTGCATTTTGTGATTGGCAGCTGAGGCATCGCTAGCCTTGTTTATAGGTAAGAAGCCCCTAGGTTGGTCCAGGCATGGGTGTGGCCCTTTTGACAGATGGGTTCCTTTTAGGGACAGTGTGGAAAGAGGGCCACTGGTTCCTCTGGTGGCCCAGGTAATGCCACTTTCATAGATAGCTCTGGCAGTGTGGCTCTGTCAGGACCATGCCATGTGTGCTGGTTAGGCAGAATGGGGAGTTAGCATTCTCTGCTCACACTAATAAGACCTTGTTTTGGGCTCCCAGATGGTTTCCAGAGCTATCAAAATAATACTATTTGTAGGCACTTTTCCTTGGAGAGGAAGAGGGATATAGAGGAGTATTCTTTGGGCCCTAGGAGAACTTTTTTTTAATTGAGTTTATTGGTACATTTTAGGTATACAGTACAATTACATTCATCATTGGGATCTTGTACTTTTACATGACAGGCCTTGGTTCTCATTTTATCCCCTTGTCCCTGCCCTCCCTTCACCCGCATTTACAAACATTTTATTTCCATTTCTTCACTTTCTCATATTTTTTCTTTTCCCTTATTACCTTTCCCCTACCCTTCCCACTTTCCCTACACCTTTAACCCTTTTCTTCCTATTTCACATTGTCAATTATCTCATTAGGATCTTATGTACCATTATAGTTTTTCACACCAGAGAAACTATTTGGTATTTACACATGTGTGACTTATTTTTTTCACTTAGGAGTATACCCTCACTATGCATCCATTTTCCTATGATGTTTTACAGCTGGGCATTGCACATAAATGCTCACCGAGTGCCCTTTCAGCTGTGTGCCTCACCACTGGGCTCATCCGTGCAGAGTATGCACACAGGCATCATGTGGGCTGCGAACAGTGACGTGTGGTAGGACACTGTGCTACAGTTCTCAAGTGAGCCTTGCAGTGCTGAGCAGTGTGCTGCTGCCTGCCGCTCGTTAGGGCCAGTGTGGCGCTTTTCCTGCAGAGTAAGTGGAGATTGCTGACACCTGTTTTTCCGTCCTGCCAGGGGATGTGAAGTGTGAGGCAGGAAAGCCTGAAAGTGCTGCCTTATGTCCACGTCGGTGGAGCTTGGTGCTGCTTAGGGAAGAGAGGGTGGGAGTGCATTCTGGGCGGGGAGATGAAAAACCGCAGTGACAAGAAACTGCAGTATAATCGCACCGAGATTCTCACTGCGTGACGGCTTCTGATTGTGCTCTTAGTTCATGCTCTAACTTGATTACTCACCAAGCAAAGGAAAAGGAATGCTGAAGAGTGGGAAGACCTCCGATATTTCCAAAGAATATGAGTATGTAGCCAAGACGTTAGAAATGGGGAGAAATGGTTCACCCTTCACCCAAAGGTTTAAACACTGAATTGTTTAAAAACAAGTTTGCTCTGAAATGTGTGAACTTCAAGGCTGTTGGTGATGAGTGTCACCTACCTTTACTATAAAGTCTCTCATGAAAAGTGGCACACAGGTGAACAGCAGGTCTTCCGTGCTGCCTCAGCCACTGCTAAGGAGTAGCTGCTGTGTGCAGTGCATTGTTCCTTACGAGTGGGTAACAAGCAGAAGGTGGCCACCGATTATTTAAATGCTGGCTGTCGGCTGTCTGTCTGGGAGAAAAGATCCATTGGAGGCAGCGTATGTAGTGCAGTGTGTCTGAGAATACAGGGGCTTCATCTAGTGTGTTTCAGTGGGTCTGGAGAGGAAGAGAACTGAGTTGGGCGTGTCAGAGGATGACCGTAGAACTTGTCTTGGATGTTAAAGGATGAGGTGAATTCTTTGAGAGTAAGAGATTGGGGCGTGCAAATGATATTTCTCCCTTGCCATTCATGGAATACGAGGAGAGAGAGAGAGAGTCAGTTTAAAGAGTGGAAACATTTTTGCCTGACTAATTTGTGGAACTTGGCTGGGTCTCAGGGATATTGGCTTCCATTTGTGAATGGTGTGCAGGGTTAGGGTTGGGTCATGGCCTTGGACCAGAGAGTGGAATTAACTGGCTCATAATGTGATTGAACTGATGACCTGGGCCATGTTACTCCCGTGTTCTAAGCAGCTGAGTCAGTCACACATTGTAGAAAGAGTGATTAAGACCCACATAGCAGTAAACAGGAATGAAATCAAAGCCAGGTCCTAACCTCAGAACACCTAGGTGTTTCTCTGTCTTTGAAGTTTTGTACTTGTTTCTGTATCTGATAACAATAAGGTGATCAAAACAAAAGGACACCATGACTCTCCTGTGCTAGCATTTTGACATCATGAAACCTGTGACCATTTTTCTTGCACAGTGTCAAGCTGTGCTTGCCGAGGCTGCGTTGAGCAGCAGTACTATTTTTGTGTTGAAGTGTCGTGTCCCAAACACATACTGATGACGCCTCTCTCTTCTTCCCTGAAGTCCGAGCAGCCCAGTCCTGCCAGCTCCAGCTCCAGCTCCAGCTCCAGCTTTGCGCCATCCCATACCAGGCAACAAGGTACCAAAAGCTCTTGCAAACTGGGAGACATTTCTCTCATAAAACATCTCAGTGAGTTGATTTATGACCTGTCCACTGCTGTTATTATTTGAATGGTAACTTGGCTTTTATGCAGTTGTATTTATTTCCCTAGGGAATGCATTGGAGTGTTATTCTGATATATAAGGCAGGGTCTTAAATCCCCCTTTCCAGTACCTTCCATCAGATTCCCATTTTACAACAGGGTCCTAGACATGGCCCCTTCCAGGGAGTTCCCAAAGGAAATACAATAGCTGAAGTTCGACTTCAGAGGCTTTGATGGAGAGAAATAGGTTTTCACTCTTCCTCTTTGAATAGCTTTCATTCTGTTTGTTTTTCTGCAGATTGGCAGACCCTTTTTCCTTTTTGAAAATGTTAATTTTCTAAAATGTATTTTCTTCTGTTCTGACCAAGTGTTAACCCAAACTCAGAATAAAGAAACTTAAACTGAAACATGTAACTAATGATGTTTTTCACATATGTCTAAAAACTTCAACTGTGGGCTCTTTCTAATTTTTATATAGAAATGATCTAGTATCAAAGAAGAGTTTGTTGTTTAGAATCATATTGAGCGTTACCTTCATTGACCACAACTGAATTTTTAATGGCTTTCTTTGTTTTGAAAAGTATTAAATTGTTGTTTGATTGTACTAAGGGTAATCTTCCAGGAAAAAATAAAAGATAGTGACAGATTTGGTTGTTCCACTGTCTTGTTCCATTGACTGCCAAAGATATAAGCTCACTACAAAACCAAAGAAATTTGTATTTTGCAGGGTGGAGACTACAGAGTTAATACGTATTTCAGCACTAAGGGAGGGCCCAGATAATCCTATCATAAATTAGACTTTAGGAAATGCCTAATCCAGATGAAAGTGCCTCTCTCAGTTTCTTCATTTTCTTCACAATCTCTTAAGATTGTTTTCATCACATTTGAGTAGTAAAATGAAAAGAAGCTACGTGTGTGTGTTCAGTTCTGTCTTATCCTAGATTAAACTTAGTTATGGCTTAATTGTTTTTCTAACTAATACCGGACTTCATTTATTATATAGTCTTATTTATGTTAATACATGCTGGTATTTTGCCAGGAATTTATTAAAAAATAAAACGAAAATTGGCTGCATAAAATTGTCGCAACAAGACCTTCTGTCCAAGATCAATATGCAGATCAGAGAGGACATTATGCCAGGGAATTGAAATACTTTATAATCTGACCTTGACTGACATGCTTGCTTGACCTGAAACTGACCTTGAAATAAAAGGAGCAGCTAAGCTCTCATAGACCAGAAACCGCCACCCAGAGGCTTCGCTGCCAAGGACAAGTTATAGCCACAGTGATTTATTAATCTTGACTTTCAGTGCATGGATTAACTTAACGAAACATCCAACTTGCCAGTCTGTTTCTTTTTAGGGTAATTTTTCTTAGAAAAAATCCTATAAATATATAGATTCTTTAATGAACATTTGGGGAACCTATTATGAAAAACTAGTGTTTATGGATGGGATGCATTTTAAAAACTGACCAGTTTTAGTACTAGTTTTTGTGCAAGGAGAGGATAATGGTTATTCTAACCAGTATTTATTGCTAGTAAGCATTCCCGTGTCTAATACGGTTACTGTGTTTGATTGCCTGTGATTCACTGTCATTGGTCAGGTCCCTTACGGTCTATAATGAAAGACCTGCATTCTGATGACAATGAGGAGGAGTCGGATGAGGCAGAGGACAATGACAATGACTCTGAAATGGAAAGACCTGTAAATAGAGGAGGCAGCCGAAGTCGCAGGTGAGTGCATGGAAGGAGGGGTTCCCTGGGAGGGATCGGACCCTCTCTGCTTCTGGTCTGGTCACAGCACACATGGGAAATGCCAGTACTAATGGCAGCAGACGTTCATTTCATTTAAAGCTGGGCACCTTGGCATGCTGACACTCACCCGTTACAGGGAACACTTTCTCCCTTTACTCAGAAAGAAGAGGGTTTATCTTCTAGAATATTAGAGGAAAAAGTCACTGTAGAAATCCTTCATATTTGAAGGTAGAAGTCTGTTTTCATTTGAAGAATTTGTATAGATCTGCTGCTGGAGGTAGTCTCAGAATGTGAAGAAATGCATTTGCTGTTTGTAGTTAGAATACATAATTGGCTCTGGTGAATTATGTGTGTGACCTAATTAAAATTAGGATCACCTGTGTGTGTTTCCAGCAAATAAATTCCTTTTAAGTGTGCTGACAATTAGGTTCCTTAAGTAGCTTTAATGCTATGAGGCATAATTCCACATTATAAGATGGCAATTCATGTCACTTATAATTAATAGTCAACTTGAAATTGCCTTGAGGGTTTCATTTCTTTATCATGAGGAAAACAAATAAGCATGCTCACTTTAATGTGTTTTGAGTAGAGAAAGATATGAATCTACTTGAACTTAGAATCCTGTTACATTTGCAATATATTAAGTCTTTTGCCCATGATCCATTACTGCATAGAGAGCCCTGAGATTCCCTAAAATAATGCATTCTTAACCCAAACCTGACAGACCCTGTGCTTCCTCATTGGCAGTTCCTCAGTATCACTTGAGAAGAAGAGCTTCTGCATGGCGTGTGCCCCGTCAGGTCTCGCTCTCAGCCCCTCTTCCTCCGTCTTGTCTCCGAACTCATCTGTCTGTATTCCTTTCACAGGACTCTTACTGTGCTAGCCTTAAAACACTTCCCTCTAAAAGTCTTTCTTCTGACAAGAAAGAAGCGGGGGCGGGGGTGCAACTAAAAATTGATTGCAACCTGGAATTAAAGAATTTACTTAGCCCAACCCAAATCCTGACCGTTGGCTGCTTTCCAGTTTTACTAAGGAAAACATGCATGACTTAGTCTCCCAATTTGTTGTTCCAATTTGGACATTCTGTGATTAGCTGCCACCGCCACTTTCTGTCCCATCTACAGTCAGGAAGGGTCTGATCTTACATGTTTATGAGGTTACGACGTAGACACACCACATGGGGACTCAGCTCTTTCCCCGTCGATATGTGGTTAGCACGCCATTGCACTTGGGAGCCTCGGCTGTTTAATCAGTTTAAATACTCAGCCTTCCACTTCAGGCGAGAAGTATTTAAAAGCAGCATTTCAACTGAACACTTCATTAATGTAATTTTGTTAAGAAAAACAAATTCCATCAATTTTTGCTAAAAGAATGTCCCAGTGTATCTTTGCTGTTTTCTGTCTTGTATCTTGTCTATCTGAATGTATAATAGAGCTAGAACGAGATTGCCCGTTCGGAGTAAAAATCTATTCTGATTTCCAAACCCTTTTCTGTCTCTGAGAAGAGTCTTATATTAGGTTACTGTATAACCAGGAGCAAGAGCAAACACTGAGGGACACTTCTGAAGGAGGGCACACATTTAGCAGCAAAGAATAAAGAACTCTGTCCTCTCTGGAAGAAAATTTCATTTTATTCTGAAAAGAAAACCAAAGAGAAGAGATGGTGACATTTTTACTGTCTTTAGTTGTTGAAAGATATCATTTACTTTCTGCAGCAGTGATCCCAAACTCAACACATCTTTGTGTTGCTGGAGGATATTTCCAGCTAATTGTCATGTCACTGCTTAGGACTAGAGAAAGCCTTGAAGATGTTACAGAAACGACTGGTATTCCAGCACATCGGGCCTCACAGGGCAGGGCAGTGCAGGAGCTAAGCAGTTGATTGGGTTTGAACTATACAGCCACCCTTCCTGAGTGACCCAGTCTCTCTACCTCTTTGCTTACTCACCTTCACAATAGGAGATCAGATCATTAGAGGAGAAATAGATAGCAGGGGAGCTCTTAAAATGGCTCCAGGTACAAAGTGAGTGCTAATACACAGTAGTGCTTGTGGACGGTGTTCGGTGTTCTAATTCCTTGGCTGTTTGTAGTGATGCGTGTGACTTTATTTCTTTTCAGAGTTAGCTTGAGTGATGGCAGTGATAGTGAAAGCAGTTCTGCCTCTTCACCCCTACATCATGAACCTCCACCACCATTACTAAAAACCAACAACAATCAGGTAAATTGTGGTGTTCGCATTTTTCAAAACTGCAGAACTAGATGTAATCATTTTATACTGCATACAGTTTTTCCTTTCTCATTACTTTTTTCAGTATCTCTTTATTAGGCCATGTTGCAGTACACGATGATTACGTTCCTCTCGGGGAGCGGTACATGTACATAACACATCTTAGTTCTGTGTCATCCCTTTCCTTCCCCTTCTTTCTCCTCCCTCCATTCTTGATCCTCTTCCTTTTTGCAAAAGATCGATCTCCCTGTTTCCCATCATCTATCTTTTATTTTGTTCTTTTTTTATATTTTGGACTTCTCATATAAGAGAAAACAATGCATACAGATTTTTATCTCAGTATTACACAGAGTTCCTCCTGATGTCAAATAAATGGGAAGTTACGACCTTAGGAATAAACACAAGGTAAAGGACTTTGTTGGCCTGAGCTGATGTGTTCCATTGAATAGGTTAAGTAGGCACAAAAAGGTATGGTGGCAAAAGTGTTGCCCTAATTTTTATGTATTTTATCCTCAGCAGTAAGTAGGTGACTTAATTAGAATGTACTATTTCGGGCTTGTATCAAGTGTAGTTCTTGGCTGCTATTGGTGATTTACTAGGTGGAAATTAATTTTTCTGACCTTCAGTTTCTTCATTTCCAAGTAACATACCTACCTTTCAGATTATTAGAAGAATGACAAATAATATATGTGAAGAGTGTGGGGCAGTACACAGAACTTAGATGATGGCAGCTGTTCACGGCACTGATGTGTCTGTGTTCTCATCCAAGGAGTGATCATCACCTTGGATTCCAAGGAACAATTAGTGAAATGCAGAGAAAATCATGCTCATTATCATTGCTATGAACTGAGCTATAGGAAAGGTTATTAATTTGATAGTCAGCTCAGAATGTAGTTACTTGGATAAGGTCTAAGTAGAACTTCAAAGGCCACGATGAAGAGCTTTGTAAACAAATGACTGGGATATTTTTTGTTACTTAGTAACATGAACTGTTTTCTGATACCATGAATATTGTAAAAGCCTCATTGTACATTGAGTTGATACTCTTGTCTTTTTGTTTAAGCAGATTTCCTTTGACTTCTACAGTAATTGCTTGATTCAAGTTACTGTATGAATATTAATTTAAAAATTAAAGAATGGTGGGTTTTTTTTGTTTTGTTTTTTTTGTTTTTTAAGAATTGGGAAGCCTTCTCTTCACATTTTGTGTAAAACACAGCAGAACTCTCTTAGTATGTCTGATTCCTCATTTATAGAGTCGTCTGTGGCTCCAGTCCCCCATTGGGTAGGAGTGCAGCAGCCTCACTACCACCCCTGGGCTGGACTGGACCCAGCCTTGCCACCTGCGTCCGCATCCTGCATCTGGCTCTGCTGTCTGCTCCCCACACCTCAGGCACTGTCTCTCTGTAGCACTGCTCTCCACCACAGTCTTTAGCATTTCAAAGTTAAAAAGTGGAGGGACACGAACTTCGTGGCCAGTGGTTGAGAACACTAGGATGAGTGATGGATAATTGGGATCCTTTGGTAAACTTGTGCTTCAGGAAGATCAGGCCACACAACAGCATCTGGACCTCAGCTGTATTTTACATTCATTCAAGACTTACTTAGGCCTGATGTCTGCCTCTGCTGGATGATAATCAAAATTAGGGTGCTTGCAGCAGCAGTCAGGCACAGGGCACTGGCTCGTCTGCCCTCTCTAGTCCCTGAAGGCAGGGGTTGATTGCTGAGTGAGTCCACCCCACCCCACTCCTGTGTTGGCCCCACAAACCCTTTCTGCACAGGCAGTCTGGAGCTGTCCCTCACTTAAGAAAAGGTTCAGATTCTTTGTCAACTCTTACAAAAATCTGTGCAGCCAAACAAGACTGAAAACAATGCATATCTGGAGAGGGTGCAAATGAGTATATCTGAATAAATAGCATGCCTCTTATTCATTGGCATGTTTATTTGATAGACATAGTTTCACCATGTGAATTATCTGTCAGATGTCACTTTCTCCATGCACCGAGAAGCATAAAAAGAAAGCATAGGCTTTCACTGTCAGCTAGTTTGGTGCAGGAAGTCTATGTAGCATAGGAATGCTTACCTCCTTGGGCCTGTGTTGTGGAGCCAAACAAGAAGGGTTTTTACACACTTTTTCCAGTACTTATCTATTAAAACTTCAAGTTACCTTCATTTGGTTAGATGTGGTAATATGTTTTTTAGTATTCAGGGACTTTAAAAACAATTACTGATATTTTTTAGAAATGTGAAAGTCACTTAAATTTCACTCTGGGATGTGTTTTCATCTCATGTTTAAATGTGAGAGAGAGCATGCCAGCACAGCAAGGAATGGAGGGGTGTCTGAAATTTCACATCAGAAACACGGATGTGGTCGTACAGGGGAGGCCCCCACTCTGTGTGACTGCTCTCCCGCAGCTGATGATGCTCCCTGAGTTCCTGTAAAGGACCAGGCACAGCTGAATAGCTGAAGTCTTCCCAGGACTAAGGAAAAGGGAAAGTGCTAATTGAGCCACATGTGACCTAAACGGACTGAAAAAAGTGATCACAACGAGCTACACCACGTCAACAGGACGAGTGACTAACTACCCGGACTACTACTAGACGCTGTGATGGTCATAACATGAAAAGTCTACCAGGGGAGAGCCCCTCTGAGTCATGGAGTTCTCGTTCCTCACAGAAGGATGCGGGAAGGTACAGTCTTGCAGTTTGGACTCTCAAGCCATCTCCTAACCCTCTGCCAGACGCCCGTGTCGGCGGTGTCCCTGCTCCCCGCAGTGTAGCCGGATGGGAAACGATGAGCGTGGCACCGTTCTGGCCAGAGATGGCTTTCTTCACGCCAACCTCCCTCGTGTGCATTTAAACAAAAGCGAAATCCGGGCCGTGCTGAGCCCTGACTGTGGAATGGGGAAGGAGGTGATCCAGTGAACCGAGTTAATATTCAGAATGTCACACGTCACTGTCACGTCGGATGGAAGTAGAGTCGGCCCAGTTGTCCGCGGCGCGGAGGTTCCCCGGGCCGGGGCGGGACCAGAGCAGAGGCTGCGGCCATGGTTCCGCCCGCAGCTCC